CTTTCAGATAATGTAACTATCAAAGAGCTTCAGCTTTTATAATATGAGCAGTGGCCTTCAGCGTCAGAGGTATCCTTCAAGGTTTACAATGAAAACCATTGTTAAAATCTGACTGAGAAATAAGACAGACCAAAAAAGTTTAATGTTTAGAAATCTCTCCTGTTGGCACATTTCTGGCTGGATTTAAAAATGACAAACACAGACGCCTGGTATCACGGTTATTATAATGGCTCTTTTGGTTTGGGCTCAGGAGGTCAGAATGTGAAGGGAATCTTTGTTATATTTATTTAATTACTAACCACAAGGTTTTGCACAAAAAGTACTTAAACAGGACACAGCCAATACAGAAGACAGATTTATTGTCTGGCTGGTGAAACTCTAACTAAAGAGCAGTGGCTGGGACTAATTAGAAGGAAAAAACGTATGTGTACCCGTACACATACTAGGAACCAGGAACAATTCATCACTTCAGTCAGTCAGAAAGTACTGCAGGAAATGCACATATTTGAAAAACACTGTACTTTGAGCTGCTATTTTCCTCTTCTGCCAACCAAACACCAGTGTTTCCCCTGAAAGATGGAGAGAATGAACCAAAGCAGGTTAACTCTGACAATGGTCATCCTTTTTAAGGTAAAACATGTCCAACTGAGGAGGAAGTTTATATTAAAGCATCTGGCCACAGAAGACATTTTCACCCCATTGAGTTGGAACAAAGTCTGACTTTTACTTAAAGTGAAGAAGACACTTCACACTCAGTTTAATAAGGCATCTGTGTCATGGTCCAGGACACACATGAGAATAAACAAATAATTTATGAATGACTGAAGATATTCAGGGCTCCACATGTTTCAAAGCCTTTTTCATACAAGTTCTACACAATCATAACTATATGGCCAGTATGGGGCTTGAACCCATGACCTTGGCGTTATTAGCACAACGCTCTGACCAGCTGAGCTAACTGGCCTGTTTCACCATCGGGAAATAAAGTTTCTCCGTCCATACTAGATCTACAAGGATTGGACAATGAAACTGAAACACCTGGTTTTGGACCACAATACTTCATTAGTA